CAGCAACCCATGCTTATCGTAAAAGGCGACTAACAGGGTCGGTGGTCAGGCTCGCTGACTTGGTTGACACATATCAGTTGCGTAAATCGATGCTCATGCTGTTGATCACTGGATTGTCTGGTGCAGACTAGATTATTTACAGACCGACACCATATAGTTACAATATTACTGACTTCAATGCAATTTCGGGAACACTTTATATTTAATCTATGTTCAACCAGTCAAATTCCAGGATGAAGTTCAATATGACCTATTTTAACCAATTACATAACTAGTTCAAATTTGATTCTTCTTTGTAAACCCATCAAACTTACCATATCAAATTCGATTTATTCGTTGTGGGTTCTGTGAAATCTTATTAGCATCCTTTGATTCCAGCTCATGTTAAAATATATTTTATATACAAACAATTATTTTTGTAGTTCCGTACATAAATGTTCCGCATCAGCAACACTGATACTATCTCCCCTTTGTTTCTGACAACAATAGATGTTTTTCCTGCACCATATCCAGATCTTTAAACGTCCGCGTTGACTTTTTTCAGCCAGCGGAATATCTCCAGCAACATGTACTCACTGAGGATATGGGGACTATCGTTATATACTGAGGGAAATAAATAAGGGAACACCACTTTATGGCAGTGTTCCTTCATTTATTCTCAGATTTCCTCCCACAGCGTTATTCAAAGCTGGTGATGAAAACCGGAGAATATTAAACGAACACTTGCATTTTCCTGTGTTCCTTTATTTGTTTCCCTCAGTATATATAGAAAATACGCATTGTTTGAATATACACTGGTTTATCACTTCAGGATGTTAGCATAATGAAGAAGGACAGACCAAATCGGGCTATTATGAACAAGGATGTTGCAGAGATAAACAGCTGTGTGAATAATTGCCCTTCTACTAACTTCTGGTCTCAGACAGGGCGGATACAGCTTTTTGAGAAGGGGTGCACAGTTCATTTCACGAGCTTTAATGGTAATTAAGTAAACGTTCAGGACAAAGGTTTCCCCACCCCTTCTCCAACGTCCCTTGCATACAGAACGTTGGTGGTGCTGTTGGTCACTGGAATGTCTGGTCCAGACTCGAGTATTTGTAGTCCGCCGTCAAATAGCTGGAAAGTTGCTGAGTGCGGCGTTAAACATCAACCAAACCAATTATAAGAGTGTGGTGAGTATATACTGTATGGGAGATAGTCTGGAGGATGAGGGGGTGAGCACAGGGGATGCAGTGCAGAAGGGAGGCTATTAAGTGGTCATTAGCTAAGAGCATAGCGGGTAAACAGTGCACGTTGGTAGTACTGAGATAGTGTGTGAATTGGAGACGTGGGTAGAGCTGATATCGGAGGGGTAACACTGTTGACTAGACTAATGCTTAGTTTCTGAATATATATAATTTTGATAGTAACAAACTAGAAAGACCAGAGATTCTGAACCTGAGGAAATCTAGACTTGCTTCATTTAGGGCTTTAGCACTGCTGAGAGGGCTTGGCAGTAGGGAAAATAATGTGGTTCAGGGACTGTGAGTCAGACTAACTGTTGACATGTTCATTTCTATAGAATAATGAGCATCTGCTATATTGTAAACAATCATATCATGTCTATTTATCCAGTTTATACCATCACGGATACACATGCCTGTACTATCAACGATGATCTTAGGGATGGGTGAATCCATGAAGCCCCAGGCATTGTATTTCATTCAGTGTCTGCCTTCGTAGCGGTCACGGACACAGCCGATCGGGAACAGTCATGACGTCGCATACTCGAGTTCACGTGATCTTTGCATTCCGAGTCAGATCCTGTATGAAGCCAACCATAACCGATTCAGTGTTCGTCACATGCTGGGCTTCAATGTCCGAGCCATTTCAACATGACTGTACTTTACGCGACGCTAAATACGATTCTTAAAGTAGAGTGAGTGAGTGAATCGGGTTTTACGCCTTTAACGCTATACCAGCAATATCACAGTAAGGGATACCAGAAATGGGCTTCACACATGTGGGGAATCAAATCTGGGTTTTCGGCGCGAACTAGCGACCGCTTTAACCACCTGGATCTCCCACCAACCCGTTTCATTTTGAGCCACCACGAAACGTGATAGTTTGATCGCCAGTATGTAACGCAACTCCGCCTAAAATACGGAGAAAGTTTTCAGGGTAACGGTCACTCGAACAAATGAGGGTGTGAGTTTAGTTTTACGGCGCACTAAGCAATATTCCAGCTATATGGCAGCGGTCTGTAAATAATCGGGTCTGGACCAGACAATACAGTGATCATCAGCATGAGCATCGATCTACATAATTGGGAACCGATGATATGTGTCAAGCAAGTCAGCGAGCTCGACCACCCGATCCGTTAGTCGTCTCTCACCACAAGCGTGGGTTGCTGAAGATCCCAGATCTCCACGTGTGTCTCGAACACATGAAGTGCCATTTTGTGACATGAATCAACCTATGCTGACCGTAAGAGCGGACCTAATAATGGATCAGCTGGTCAGATTCACTGGCTTGACTGACAGCGTGTCTTTGTACTCCAAACTCATGGCCTCGATTTCTCGAAACAAACTTAAGTCTGAGTTTTGACCTAAGTTAGAGTTTTACTCAAATTTGAGAAACACTGGAAAATGCATTGCCCAGAATAAGCTGAAATCGATATTACAATCAAACATAGTAGACAATTTGAGTTTGGTGGATAGATTACTTAGAAGTTGTTTGGGCTTTTTATTTTAAAAATCAGTTGAGTTAAAAATTCAGCTGTTTCAAATTGTCAAACTCAGTTTGGTTGTTCATAACATCAATCACTGAATTGTCTGGTCCCGACTCGGTTACTTACAGATCGCCAGTATATAGCTGGAATAGTCTTGTGTGCGGCGTTAAACAATAAACAAACCCGACAAACATGCATGTCTTTTAGTTGAATAAGACATGGCATGTCAGATATGTGTAAGACTAATGTTCCGGTGTCCTTTGAAGTTAGTATCCGACGTACATGTGGCGCCCCACAGTATACTTCCAGGGCCTATATTTTCGAAGCTCTCTTAGCGCTAAGATAGTCGTAAGTGCCATACATTAACATTAACTTACGACTATCTTAGCGCTAAGAGAGCTTCGAAAATCTAGGCCCTGGGGCGGATCCATAAGGTGTTGGTAGAGTTACGACCTGTCGTAAATAGTGAGTGTATCATAGGCTTATGAATGTTGTAGAACTACGAATGCTTTGCGGACATTGACCCTGGTCTCCGGTTGGCACTCGTTCAGGTCAGACAACCGTTTTCTGTTGTCCCAGGGTCAACTCTCCACTAATAATACCTACAATTGTCAACGTCCTAGGTACGTCAACTACAGCCGTGAAATAACTACACTGTTGGATTAATAGCTAAACATAGGCAGACGTATACAAATAAGGGGATAATGTTTAAGTTTGTTCAAGTTTGTCACATTTGACTTTTTGTTGAGAGTTTTGATGGATTATCAGAAATATTAGGAGACTCAGTATTATTTCTTGCTATCATTGTTTCAAAGGTATTAATTATATTGCGTATTTTGTTTACACAGGTACAACTTCTATTGGTCGGAATACAGAATTAAGTGTCCTCACTATGTGGTGTTATAAGTGATGTAGACCCGATATATAATATATAAGTGATGTAGACCCGATATATAATATATAAGTGATGTAGACCCGATATATAATATATATAGTGATGTAGACCCGATATATAATATATAAGTGATGTAGACCCTAATTGTGTGATACCGTGCGGAACCAACTCCGCTTTGGCACCGATTAAGCGAACACCTTTTTCCGTAGTTGAAGAAGGAATTTTGCTGAATCGGCCATAAACCGTTTGAAAAAACGAAAATCATTGAAACATTAACCGAGCTAGTTAAATTTAGTAACAAAAAGTCAAGATTACCTTGACCTGTTTAGTACTGATGGCAACCAACGTAGGTTTTCTCCAGTACTGGAGTTACCACTAACCTTGAACCATTTAGTACTGGAGTCAACACTAACCTGTCCTTGTTAAGACTAATTTGACCTTGCTTTGTTCTTGTGACATAACAGTGTAAGCAAAGTAAATATAAAGGATGGTTGAGAGGATGTGCCCTGTGATACACCACGCTGTGAAAGTCATTGGGTAATACACGACACAGCTGAGATATCACGCCCAACACCCGTAGTCGTCTCACTGTGGACACTTGTCTAGCAGTTCCTCACGTAACACAAAGAAGTCATGACGTCATATTGATGCTGTCCCGTCACGCACGTGCGTGTCAATATATCAGTTATAGCACTTATGATCGTATCGCATGCCCATATTTCCGGGCGATTTGGTCTCCATAAATACCGCACTTCTCGTTTAAAACTACATAACCTAAGAAAAACATAAACGTACATGCACTTCTCTGCTCACCTGGTTATGCGACAGAAAGGTGTGTTACAGTTTCGGCTTTAGGCCTGTTTGGTTTTGTTGGTTGCTTAACGCCACTCTGCAATATTGCAACCTTAACGGCGGCCTGAATAATAACAGTCTGGACCAGACAATCCAATGATCTAACGTCCGGCATAGTCCAGCATTAATCCGACCTCTCCTCGACACTTGTTTTGCATTTCATGCATATAAGAATTCTAGTATACAAATGTTTTTTGGATAAATCATAAATAAATATTTCGCTCTGCATCCTACAGTAAAAACAATTGAGGTTACTTCGAAACAAAATTAAAGGCAATTTGGCCATTCAGAATGAACAACATTTGATGGAGTGGGTTTATTATTTTAAGAAGTTTGCTTATTTTAGTTTTCAAGAGTCACTTCTGTTCGTGTATGCGTGCACGCATGTGTGCATGGTGTTTTATAACCGACTGTAATCGATTGTATCTAAGTCTCGGTATTGGTTCACTGCAGTGACAACCGACCTAGATCTCACACATGTATGACCCGCCCAGCCTGATTCATGATACTATCACAGGTACGGGTCGCTGTAACTTTCTAAAGGTTAGCGTGCCCATGTTGGTGAACAGTGCATAAAGAGTTATTGTCAGTGTATGGGAATGTACAGTCGTCGGATAACAACGGTTTTCGGTCACATTGCCATGGCCTTCAAGGTAACTAGGGTCGTCGAATAAAACAGTTGTTGTTATATCACATGGTATAAGAAGTATTTAATGCCACAGGGAATTTGGTTTCACCATGACTATACTCGGAGATACTGCATTGTCTTCAACCTGTAACTGATTACATTCAAGTTAACACCAGACATGTTTTGTCAAAGATATCATAGTAGTAGGTTTGGTGAGCAAAAGAACATGTTTTAATGCTCTTCAGTCATTGAAGTGACTTCTTATCAATGTGTTTTTTCTTCGAAAACAAAACCATGAGCACTGAACCTGTGAGTCACTTTCCTCTGTGTACTCATATATAGCTCACACCGTATCTGAAATGCATTATTGGATTATTTCTTGAACCACTACAAAGCCCAGGATGTTCATTGTTAACGAAATGAAATAACATGACCTAGATAACCGAGGATGTTGTTTGTGGACTCCAGAAATACGTAAAGGTCATGACATTGTCTGTTATGTTTATCTAAAACTGTAATGTGTGAAGTCCATTTCTGGTGTCCCCCGCCGTGCTATTGCTGGATTATTGCTAAAAGCGGCGTAAAACCCGACTCATTCACTTGCTATCTTAAAACCACTGTCACCTGTCTCTCTTAATTCAATATAATAGTCTTTTTTAAATAAACACCCCTCCTTTCAACCCTTTCTATTTACATTAACCCCACCCCTCATTTCCTATAACCTTCTTTTCGAAACATTTAAACTTTTTTCAATTCAACTTAGTATAAACCGAGCAATCTGTACTTTTAAGAGGCGACTAAAAGTATCGGGTGGCTTCGTAACTTGATAACGTCATCATACGCACTTCTTACTCAAGTCATGACATTAATTGTCTGTTGTGTTAATTTCAAAACACTGTCACCTATCTCTCTTAATTTAATCATCTTTTTAAAATAAACATCCGCCTCCTTTCAACCGTTCTTTTTACATTAATCACTCCCTCCTTTCTTAAACAGCCTTCTTTTGAACCATTTAAACCTTTTCAATTGTCTAAACTAAATATAACCCGAGTAATCTGTACTCGTAAGAGTTGACTAAATGTATCGACTTGATAACGTCATCATATCTCAATTGCATGAAACGATGCTGATGATGTCTCTCACTTTGCTGCCTTGTGCAGATTTGATTATTGACAGACCCCATATAGCTATAATATTGGTTAATAAACAACAAAGAAAATATTCCATTATTACTTCAGGTGTAGATAAGCACCAGGGTCCCGTTCTGCAAAGCAATCTACTCCCATACAAGAACAGACGTTTACGATAGTAGTATTAGTGCTGATAGGTTGTGGTCGATAGGTTGTTAACTAGTGGTCGATAGTGTAACCAAATAGGTATATATCAAATAGAGTAAGGGGCGGTGGGGTAGCGTAGTGGTTAAAGCGTTCGTTCGTCACGCCAAAGACACTGGTTCGATTCCCCACATGTGTAAAGCCCATTTCTGATGTCCCCTGTTGTGATATTGCTATAAAATTGCGGCTTAAAACCATACTCATTCACTCAATCACGCACTAAGAGTACATGAATTTCACTTGGTGCATTGGATAATTATTCATTGTGTCCAGTGAAAGAAAAGGGCATTTACTTTGCAGTGTGTAAGTGTTGTACACTTTTGTATGCGATTCAGTAACATATTATAGTACAGATTGGGCGTTACAGTTTGTTTCATGACGTCATTGACATCTTGTGCCGTGGCGGGGGTACAGAGTCAATTTCATTGGGAATTGGAAGAAATCTTAAAACACTTGGACCTGCGTTATTGTAAAGGGAAAGCAGGGGCGTAGCTACCATTATGAAAAAAAAGCCCGGGCTTACACATGATTTTGAATAGTTGGGCGAGCCCTCAACACTAACTAAATATAAAGCTTGGCAACCTAGCGGCTTACACGAAAAACACATTATTATTTTTTCTCTTTTCTTTCTTTATACTTGGATGTATTAGTTTGATAAAACATTGTCAACGTGCGGTGTGTGCACGTGATACTTAACAGTGACGTAGTTTCATAGGGGGTCTTGGTCTGTGGACCTCAATGATAATTGTGCTGAACTATGACATAGGGGGTCGTGTTGAACATTATTTTGGTCTGTGGACCTCAATGATAATTGTGCTGAACTATGACACCTCTGTGAACTGTAGAAATTAATCAAAGTAATGGTATGTTATGGCTTTGCCTGGTTTAACAGAAACCAAAACAGAATCTCGCAGTTGGAATCAAGATAGCTGCGTGCTGTTGTAAGGGCATACCCCTCTTTTTACACCTGAACTGGTATACATTTTCTGGACAAAGAGCTAAGTCATATTCAAGGTTGCGGTACTTCTTCTCATAGCTATATGTACAATTGTCCTAAAGGTGCATCCACATGACAAATGTGAACCCTGCTCTCTCCTCTCGGTGTTCACATATTATATATGTTGTCACAGGTGCAGTAGTTAAGCTGTCGAATGGTGTTTACAAGTTATTCATTAAAGACAAAAGATGTTTACCAGTCGTTGTCAAGTTGGGATGATAGATGGCAACCAGGCGCGTAGCAAGCCAATTTTTGGAATGGTGTTTAAATCATAGTTATGTATATATCTGTGATTTGTTATTGTATTTTTCAGGTGATTCAGGTAAAATATTTAAAACATATCTATGATCTAATTCTGTCCCTCTTATTAAATTTATACTTTTTAAAGATTCAAAAGACATCAAACCTTCTTCATCACACATGTCTTTGATGGTTAATAGTCCTTTATTTGCCCAATGTCTCATTTGATTTTGGTTTTTATAATTATGATTAAACCATAATGGCTGTGCTAAAATTTCATCAATGTTGCTTTCCTCTATGGTTATGTTAGAACAATACATATTCCATGCTTTTGAAACATCTTCCAATATGGATTATGAATATCAGCAATATTATATGAATTAGCACCAAATTTCAATATATCATGTAAAGGAAAATTGCACGGATTGCATATTGATCATTTACTCAAATAAAGTCTCAAAGTGGACAGTTTCAAGGCATTGATAAAGGTATTTATGTCAATCATTCTTAAACCCCCATGTATATAATCTTTTTTCAAAGTACTTCTCTTAATTTGGTCATTTTTGTCATTCCAAATGAATTTGAAACATATTTTATCAAGGGAGGTAACAAAATCTTGGGGTGGGTTTGGTAAGGTATTGAAAATATGTACATGTACTAACTTTGAAATAGCCAGTGCCTTGATAACAGTGATTTTGCCGATTAGTGTTAAATGTCTTTTTCTCCACACAGCCAATAATATGGTAATTTCTTCTAGTTTTTTCTTTGTATTGATGATCCATAAATCCTTCAGTTCGGCGTTAAATATAATTCCCAGAACATCAAATTCATTTTGTCGCCATTCAATATTCAAATCCTGACATAGTTTATCTACACAGCCTGTTTTTGAACCAATCCAGATTGCTTTAGTCTTATCAATATTTATTTTTAGTCCTGACATCTTATAGAAGGTATTAAATGTATCAACAGCAGAATAAAGACATTTTTCTCTACCACCTAAAAACAATTAAGTATCATCTGCATATTGTCCTAATTTATACTCCGTATTCCTTTAAGCAATGTTTATTTATTCACTCACTCAGTCTTTTGTGTGAGCAAATACCTTATGCATTTCACTCCAGATGTTTTGTATGCATGCGTCGGTTTATTATATAATGTACAGCAAAGTATACCATATATACAGGTTAGTATTTCTAAGTAACCCACCTTAGTCACACTTTGGTGTGAAAGGTGTCAGTTGAGTTTACACAGGACCCTTTGTGTGCCCTGTTGATACTATTTACACTTATATGGTCCCGTGTGCAAGTGCAATATAGACACGATGTCACTGCATTCCCCAGACATGACTGATTTCCATATTGCATAAATACCCACATTGAGCACCTATCACCCCAACTTGACAACGACTGGTAAACATCTTTTGTCTTTAATGAATAACCTGTAAACACCATTCGAAAAAATTGGCTTGCTACGCGCCTGGTTGCCATCTATCATCCCAACTTGAGAACGACTGGTAAACATCTTTGAAAAGAATTTTATGAAATCATTACAGGGATCAAGATTATTTTATGATATATTGCTATTTAATAATAATAACCCTCATATGTGTCATAAATGGGAGAAAGTGTTTGATGATACTGATTTTGATTGGCCAATGACTTTTATGTCTTTCAGGCAAGGCATTAATGATGTAAAACTCTTAGATTTCCAATTAAAGTTTTACATTATCTATACCAAAAAGGAACTATTAAAAATGAACCTAATCCAAAGTGCCTCATGCAACTTTTGTAAAGATGAGGATGAAAACTTGTGCCATGTTTACTGGGAATGTTGTGAAACTAAGAAGTTTTGGAATGATCTTCAAATTTGGATTAACACCCATTTCATACAAAAATGTAATTTGACAAAACAAATTGTATATTTTGGTTCCTCAACTAAAATCCCATTACTTAAGACATAAATATGTCTTTTTGCTGAAAATATTATATGATTAATAATCATATAAAAATTTCAGCAAAAAGACATATGAAAAACAACATTCCAAAATGCAATAACTTTATAAAGACTTTAAAAGATATTTTTTCTGATGAAAGCTTCATTTCCAAAAGAAAGAATTAAATGAAGAAATTTGCAAATAAATGTCATCCATTATTCCCAGTATTTCAAACCTGACCTGTGTATGCAACAACCGCTTTTGTAAAATCTTGATCTTTATGTATTGATTAATTAGTTAACATATTTGTAGGTGCACTGATGTAACATTGGGAACATTTATTATAGGGCGGATGGTGTCCTCCCATTACGCAGACAGCCAGTTCGCAGACACCTTAAAACAACATTTACGGTTCAGTGAACAGATTATCTACTACCTGTTACCTACACATTATAATGGAATAGTCCAAATAAAAACACAGGAACAAAGTGAAGCTATATTATTTATTTTGAAAGTTGGAC